ATGCATACTCAGTGCCACTCAGCAGTAAAAGTAGCCATGCAAGAGTTAGATGGTGCATTATAACTTCCCAGGTTGTTTGTTCTTTATCTGCTGTGCTAAAGGACCCTTCCAGGGTGTTGAGACACCTGACATGTCCAGGTTTGTCAGGACTTGTACATAAATGTTACCTGCCTGTAAAGCTATCAAATTTTGAAGTCTTTTCCAGGACTCTTCTCCACCATATCAAATGTTCTAGTAACATGCTGTGAAATCCAACTATGACATCCTCTGGGTAGGACCACACAAGTTGCCGCTAGCAGAAATACAACCCAATCCTGTTAGTTGCGGATGATAAAAGTTGTGGTCTGTCCAAAGCTGTTTTAAGTCTTCTTTCCTCCCTGTAAACAGAAAGAAACAAGTTCTATGCCAAGGGAAATTTATGGCGCTCAACACTGATCAGTAGGGAGAGAATGCGGGGCTGGCAAATTGAGAAAATCCTGAGATTTCCAATATGTATGCCATTCATACACAAAAGGGAATTCCTGTGTATCTCGTGTGTGTGGGGAGAGGGGGAATTATCAACCAGATATTTTGAGACGAATACTTCAAAATATTCCTTTGTTTCAATCTCAGACTTCCCCCTCCCCCAGGAGTGTCTCCTTGCCATCTGAAGTAGGTGTGCATAACAAGACTGAAATAGCATCCACACTTACCTGACAGGAAACCCCACTGAATTCAGTGAGACAGACCTTTAAGACCTTTGCTACCTTGATATCCCATCTTTCCTTCACAGAGCTCGAGGGGCATCCATGCTGCTCTTTCTGCCTCTTTTATCCTCACTACAACCCTGCAAGGTGGGATAGGATGAGAATCAGTAACTGGCTCACAGTCACCCAGTGAGCTTCGCGGTCACGTGAGGACTATAACGCCGATCTGCTGATGGATCCAGCACTCGAGCCGCCCCGCCATGCTGGGACTGGAGGGGAATGGCGAAAACATACAAGACCACCCGAAACACGAATACACTCGCGTACTGAAGCAGAACAGTCTGCGCCTAGGAGAAAAAACATCGCTCTTTTAAGACTATTTTCCAAGAAGCCAAAACCAACCAAGCAGAGCGTGTCTCAAGATAACATGGGCGGAGCCCGCAGCCAAGCTCTGATTCTAATTGGTCGGCCCTTCCGCCTCTCTCCGCTTCGCACGAACCCTTAAAAGGGCTCCACCCAGGGCGCCCGGGGGCGCTTCCAAAGGCTGGCAGCGTCCTTCGGCGCTGGCAGCGTGCGTGTTAACCGGGCGCCCCGCTCGGCGGCGCGCTTCGCGCATGCGCGACCGGGAGGCGAGTGCTCCACGGCGGGCGGTGGGTGGCGGCTGCTTGTCCCCGCCGACCATGGGCGGGTGGCCGGGCCTGCGGCCGGACTGCGAGGCGCTGCTCCGCCGGTTCCAGGAGGCCGAGAGCGTCCGCTACGAGGATTTCGTCTCCGTGTGGAGAGAGAAGCGCTTCCACACCATTTTCTAGTGGGTGGCCCTCTCCGCTTAGGAGGTGGCGGGGGCGCGGGTCGCGGGGCCGGGCGGGGGCGGTTGCAGGGGCCGGGCCGGGCCGGGCGCGCCCTCCAGGGCAGAGCGTGGGTTCCCCTGTGCGGCGTCCGAGCCCGGCTGCGCCCACGAGCCGCGTTCGCTCGCGGCGAGCGGCGCCCGGTTCACGCGGCGAAAGCGAGCCGCGCGCTGCCGTCCCCTTTCCCTCGCCTGCGCTCGCCGCTTCTGCCATGACGGACGAAGATTCCGTTTCATGTGTTTTTGCGTGGAATCCGACACGCCTCGCAATGCATCTGTCTTTGCGCGGATCTTGTTTTGTCTAGCGGGAAGATCAGGACTCTGGAGCAGATCAAGTTCACCAGAGAAGCGTTGGCTCTGGTGTGGCCGTACTTCTTGCCCCCCTACACGTTCCAGATTCGCGTGGGCGCCCTTTACCTTCTGTACGGCCTGTACAACACTCAGCTGTGTCAGCCCAAGGAAAAGGTATGCTGCGTTTCAACGTGCTTGGCCCTTGCCGTGTGAAGCCTCCCTTCTGTTGCTGTAATGGATGCACCACATCCTTGGTGGTCTTTCCAAAAGAGCAATAATAGGTTCACGTGCGAGCCATGGACAGAAAGTCACGCATTTGCGTGCTGCCGTGGTCGTCTTGGTCTTCCCCCTTTCATATGGGTTGTTGCATATTAGTGTGAGTGGGATAGTGGTTGTCGCTGTTCTAAATTCTGCATGCTTTTAATTTCGCCTTGAGGATTTTTCTTCCAAGACGTTTAATAACAACATGGGAATTATAGTGGCCTAAATAAATTGTACATGAAATGTGCTGAATACTCAAAACAGTGCTATATGCAATATTCTTAAATGCTTATGTTTAAATTGTTAGTTGAAAAACTGGTGTGGTCATTAAGAGCACAGGACTGGGACTCGGGGGATCTGGGTTCTAGTTCCCGCTCAGCCATGGAGCCGATTGGGTGACTTTGGGCCACTCACAGACCCTCAGCCCCACCTACCTTGCAGGGGTGTTGTTGTGGGGATTAAAACTGAAAGCAGGAGGAAGAGAATGATGTAAGTCACTTTGAGTAGTTAAAAAAGAAAAAGGCAAGATATAAATCTAATTAATATGCTTTTAAAGGTTGTTGTTACTGATAGAGGTCCTTTCCTTTCAGGGATCCAAAAAAGAGGAGCACAGATGGAACTGACATGAAATAGTTCATCCAGCTTTGGTGGATGAGTGTCAGGAAATGATTTCACATTTGTTCTCTCTCTCTCTGTTGCCCCAAAGCCTCATATATTCTATTGCACACGAGAAGCATGTGAATGCTGCTCCATTCATTCCACTGTAGCTCCGTGTGAGCGGACTTTTGGCTCTTGCTCTTTTAAGAAGGTACCTGCTCCTCCCTCTTCTCTGCAGTGACTCCGTCTGTGAGGGTCCTGCCCAGAGTGGGTGCCCAGCAGCCCTCAGACCAAGGGGATTACAGGTTCCCCTTGCCCTCCACAAGGTGTAGGCAGCCAATTTTGACTGTTTACCTGTTTCCTCCTTGCAAGAAAGAGAGGCTGAGGTGCTGCAGGGATTCTTCTCTTGTTCTCCTCCCTGCCCTGCCAACGCCAAAGACAGTCTTCCTACTTTGCAGCCTAGTCAGTGCGGAAAGTACTGCATCAGCTATGAGTGAAACGTTTTTCAGAGGTTGGACCTGGGGCTCAGACCTATCCTGTGGTCCCCCAGGCAGTGTTGGAAGGCCACAGAATTGTGCCCTAATCCATAAATAGAGTTTCATCCTGATTTTCACCAGGGTTATACTGTACCGCAGTAGAAGAAGATTGTTACATGGTTAAATGCTTCTCTTTACTAAACGGTCTCCCCTCACAGAAAACTGAGTGTATCGTACTGCAGGATGGCAAGAACCTTTTTCCTAGTTTGGTATATTAGGGAGCTTTTACTGTGGAGGAACATTTGATCATGGGAGTCTCAGACCATCCCTGAATTCTGTGTTTCTCAGTTTTGCTACCTGTGTAAGAATAAAGTGTACATCAGTTGGAGCATTAAAGCAAAGAGCCGGTTTATTCTTACTATATCCAATTTTTGCTGCTGTTCATATGCTTGTGAATTGCTGTCAACTGCCCGGAGGGCCTTGGCTATTGGGCAGTATAGGAATAAAAAATTATTAATAATGATAATAGTTGTTGGCACTTAAATGCTATGGCTATACTTTGCATCTTTCCTTCAGTTAATGATGTGAGCTGGTCAGCTGCATTGTTGATAGCTGTTCAACATGAAATTGACACGCAAACTATCTGTTTCCACTTCAGATTCGGGTTGCCCTCAAAGATTGGTCTGAAGTCGCTAAATTCCAGCAGGAGCTGTTGGAGGCAGAGCATTACGATGCAGCGTATATCTTCAGAAAGCTTCGGATGGACAGAGCATTCTTCTTTACTGCCATGCCTAAATTTGTGAGTTGCTAAACAGGGATTAAGAAAAGCCATCCCTGCTTTACCTTTCAAATGGGGAAATGTTGCAGCCCTGGGGGCCAGATTTCCACCTGGGGCGCTCATGGGCTCCAGGTGATGTTGGAGGATCAGTCCCTTTCTCCTGTAGCCCCACACCTTCCCTCAAACTGCACCCACTGGCATCAGCTTTCCCATTCATTGCTATGGGAAAATAGCCCTTTCTGTAGCCTTGAGCTGGAGAAGCCCTGGCTGGAGCAGACCGGTGGGGTGGGGTGGGGTGGGGTGGGGTGGTTAACAGTGACTGGCAGGCTGTATGGAGGGCCTGCAGGGGCTGGTGCTTCCCCACCATTGCTTTGTATCTTAATAGAGCTTGTATAGCCCTTGGGAGAAATAGGGACACAGCTACACTCTCTCCTCTCCCCCAGTGCTTCCCCTGTAATGTTAATGCATGGGGTGTGGGGGTATTTGTGGGAAGGGCAGCAGGAGAGCACAAGGCACTTGTCCCTTCTGCCAATGCTTCTCCCCTCTATCCCCAGAGAAATCTCTCCCTCACTCCCCGGAAGTGAGTCTGTCTGGGAGAGGAGTTGCCCAAAGGCAGCATTTGCAAGAGAGCCCTGGTGGGCACGAGAGGGATACCTGCCTTTCCTTCCCCTGTAGAGCCTCAAACAGGTGTGGCGTTGGGGCCACATCTTTGCTGAGAGAAGTCAGAGCTGGGCTCTGTGTTGCTGGGAGGGACGCAGGTGAAGGCATCCTCCAGCGCATGGGCCTCTTCTGGCTTGTGGAGGTGCTCAGTCCGGCCCGGAGAGGGTGAGACTGTCTCTGTGGGTCTGCCACAGGCCGTGCCCCTTGCCCTGGGGTGTGGGGAGGAGGCAGGAGATTCCCCTGGAGCCCTGTAAGCCCTGGCGAGTCCCTTAGCCAATAAATGCTGAAAATAGACAAGATGGAGGCAGCCAGCCGGACTCTTTGGGCCACGTATTTCATTGGGAGGGAATTCAGGAGCTGCTCTGATGATAATCCATTTTCTCTGTCCAGCTTCAGATCTGCTCCGCTCCTTTTTGGAGAACTTGTAAGCGGCTGCAGCTGGCTGCTAACAGTCATTCCTGTTTTGGAGTAAGAACTGTTAGGTCTTGATTCTCCATTTAAGAAGATGAAAAAGTGGATGGATGCGGAGCTCTATCTTTTCACTTTCTGACTTCAGAAATGTTCAAAGCGAAATAGACCATATTAATGAAACTGAGTTTTCAAGCATTGCCTGATTATTGCATGTGTAACTGAAAACAAGCCTTGGATATTTTTAGCTTTTGCTAGGTGCCAGTAAAACTTATGGTGAATATTCTGGACAGATCACTTTCTGATGCTATTTTCTTTGCCATGGAAATGTGTCCTTTACTGGGACTAAAGGAGAAGCAAGCGCATACTGTAGGTACATGGTGTTTATGAAGCAAGAATGTTTGGAACTACAGTGACGTTTCATTTAAATTGGTAAATTTGAACACCAAGCTTTTCCTTTCATTTTGATTTACGTGGTTCTCTCTCTCTAGCTTTCCTTTAGGACAAAAAAGAAAATGCATGAGAGGACTGAGATGAAGACTGAATTCAGGGATCCAACTGACCGAGTTGCCATGCTGAACCCAGATGACTTCTTAGAGGTGACTGTTGCAGTTGCAGCAAACTTAGAATTTACTGTTAAGTTTTGCTTTCATTTTGCAGATGTCCTATGTGTCTTTTGAACCTTTCAGCCCACTTTCTTTATGAATCGTTTTTGTGGGATGAAGACAGACTTGGACCTTTTGTTTTACTTCTCTGAGCCTTTATTTAGATTATTTATTTATTTAGACATTTGTATGCTGCCCCCTACTCCAAGAGGACTCTCTTACACCCACATTAAAACAATAAAACTAATAAAAACAATCAATTCCATTTACAAAAAGAACTGTCATCAAAAAAGCAATAAATAAATAGGCCATTATATCTTCTCCCTGGGGGAACAACCATAAAATGATACATTATTACAAACATTAAAATCAGTTGTAAAAAAATTATTAAAATTTATTGTTAAAATGGCTAGAAAAGAGAAATGCTTTTGCCTGGTGCCTGAAAGAGAATTAGTGCCAGGTGAATTTTTCTGGGGTGCTGATTCCACAGGTGGGGGACAGTCACTGTGAAGGTCTTTCCTCTGTTTGCCATCCCTCTCTCTCACCTCTTTGAGGGATGGCTCCTTTAGAAGCGCCTCCTGCCCAGATCCCAGTGGCTGAGTGGTCCTTTGGGTATCCAGGTCCTAAACTAAGGTTAAGTTAGTTGAATATGACTGCAAGTGTTACAGGGTAGATGCATGATAAAAAGTGACCTTATGTGGCTGTGTTGGTCATACACTTTCATGGTTGCAGAATATCCCGATGTACCAATCACAAGACCAGTTGCGAACAAGCGTGAAGCTTTACACCAAACAGTTCTACTTGTTGAGCGTCAATGGGGTTGGAAGTTAAAGCGGGAAATCAAGCAAACTGAAGACTTTCTTATTAGGTGTACTATATTTTGTGCAAGAGCCTGGCCTTTTTTAGGTGTCCTTGCTGACTAATGTTTTTTAAATTTTGCATAAAGCACAGAAAAGGATGTCTTCAGTGACGAGTCTTAAAATGTGACTAGAATCCTGGTTCTTACTGATGCAGTTATTAAGTGAAGTTCAGTATCAAGAACTAGAAAAGTGGTCTAAGCTTTTCTTGCACAGCTACAAAAATTGTTATGTCACACATGTATTTTTCCACTTCAAGGAAGCGAAGAACGTTCATGACCATTATCAAAAAATGAAGTGTCTGATCTCTGTGGATCAAAGCCATCCAGATAAGGCTATTGATCTGATAAAAGATGACTTCATAGCCAATTTCAAGGATATAATTTCAGAATATCAGCGTTGGCAAAAGAATAAGATGGTAGGTCCTCTCAGTCTTTGCTCTGTGTGTTGACTGATGCTGCATAGGTGACTCGCAGGGCCTCTGCTACTTCGACATCTGGCCAGCTACATAGTTCGCCGTTTAAATAGGAGTTCTCTCTTTAAACTGCCATACCATGAAGCTGTATTTCTTGGGCAAAAAGTAAGTGCTACTTTCAGCTGTAGCTCCACCATGACAACTAAAAGCCCAATACGTTTTCAGATAGCAAATAGATGGGTTTGCTATTCTTTTGAAAGTTGGTAAGTTTTCAGATTAAGAGTTCCCCAGTAGGGGCCCTCAGTGAAAATGTTGCTTTGTGCACCCTTAATTTTCAGTCCTGGCGCACGCGTGACCAGCCAAAGACATGGATTCTCTTCTGGAGATCTGTTGCGATCCATAGCATATATAAACATTAAGTAGTAGGAGCTGAAGGACCAGTTCCTGAAGGATCAAATGAAACGAGCACAGGGGAAGTTGCAGGCAAGGGGGACTCTGTTCAGAATACACAACTGGGTTGGAATACTTTAAGATGCTGAGGTCATGTATGGCTTCCCTCGTAACTTTATGGGATCCAGGGATACTTGAACGAATCCAGTATCTGGCCCATCCCTGTGCTGCTTTAAGCAGTATAGTATTAACTAATTTCACACGGACACCATCTTCAGCCCCATTCCTCGTAGCCCTGCTTAAAGGTGACTCTGAATTGAGGTAACCGGAGGAGTTGACTCCCTTGGATGACTCCTCCAAAATATTGATGACGTCTGGACGTGAGAGAGGGAGCATAACTCAGCAGAATGGCCTGAATCGGAGGCAGAGGCATCTCTCCTCGGTCCACCTGCCTGACCCACAGAAAGGCAAACCCGAAGAGATGCACTTGGGCAGACAGAAATTACTGATCAATAATTGGGCGGGAGCCAGTTCCTCAAGCAGCCTGTACCAGCCCCATGTGCATTCTGTGCGACCTCATCCAGACCCCCCTGGGCAGCATCTCCTCATGTCGTGATCTGAGTGTTCCCCTGGCACACAGGCCTTGGTTCACAGTGAAATGTGTCCTCTTCCAGGAGCCCGCCTTGGCCACTCTGGATGAAGAAGCGACGAATGAAAGGAAAGCTTTCTCGCAGGAGTCAGAAGTAAGTGAATCCGGATTTTCCTGCAGGGCCTTGTTGGCTTCTCTTGCTGTTCCATCTCCTCAGTTTAACTCTGTAGGAAAAGTGAAAGTGTAGCAAGTGAGCTGGGGAGAAATGACTCCTTTTCCCAGGAACACCCCCAGGACAATTGCTGGGAACCAGTTTTGGGGCCTGCATCGCTGTCCTTGGGCTCACTGCTGCTTGTCTGGGCTGGAGCAACCGCCAGCTTTGGACTGCTCAGACAAGTGCCGGCCTGGGATTCCCTGTCCCCAGTAGAAGGACTGCCTGGGCAGGCTGCTAAGATGGAGCAGTTCCGTTTGTTATTTATTAGATTTATATCATGCCTTTTTCTTGCAAGAACTCAAAGCAGCTTACTTCATTCCACTGCTGTCCCCGCTTATCCCCGCAATGGCTTGGGTCCTGGATACCTGAAGGAGCGCCCTCTTGCCTATGTGCTGAGCCACCCCCTGAGATCGGAGGCAGAGGCCCTTCTCCAGGAGCCCTCTTTGAAGGAAATCAGGGGGGTAGCTACCTGGAGAAGGGCCTTTTCGGTGGTGGTGCCCTGACTTTGGAACATGCTCCCCGGGGAGATTCACCTGGCGCCATCACTTTTTTTGGTGTCAGGTGAAAACTTTTTTATTTTCCCAGCATTTTAACAATTGGTTTTCTCTTTGATTGTATCGTTAATGGTCGGTCCAGTGTGCTGTTTGTTGGCATGTATGATGTTGTTTTTTGTTTTTTATTTTGGAAGCTATCCAGAGACACTGGTATTGGATGGCATATAAAAACTTTAAATAATAAATAAATAAACAAGACCCCTGCAAAGTAGGTTGGGCTAAGAGTCTGTGGGTGGCCCAAAGTCACTTGGTTGGCTCCATGGCGGAGTGAGAACTAGAACCCGGGTTGCTTGATTTCCAGTCCCACGCTCTTAACCACTACCCCACCCTGGCTTTCAGTTTACAGAGAGGAACAGTTGACATCAAGCAGCTCTACTTGAAATGCAAAATGCACAGCTTTGTTTTATCACACGATATGATAGCTTTTTGTCAATGTTTGCGTCACACGTTTGAAACAGTCTTGAATTTAAAAGAAGAGCTGGGAATTAAAAGCACTGGTAATACCTTTCTCTTCCAGGGTTCCAAAAGAGCCAGAGCATTAACTGAGATCAAATCCCGGTCATACTCTGCAGTCGCTCCAGTAAGTGTGTCAAAACTGCTCCAGAACTATGTATTGGAGACTGAAAGGCGTGGCTGCCACTGCCCTTCTCCGCCCCTTTGTATGAAGACAAGTGGCCCCTTTTCCTATACTTGAGTATCTTGCTTGGTTTCCTTGTCTGTTAGTTAATTTATATTTTCTGTTATTTGCAATCCACACAAGACGGTCCATGTCACGGAATTAAATAAAGTCCCTATGTTCCTAGCTTACATTCGTAAGCATACATTTGTCCCTCCAAGAAAAAAATTACTGTAGCTAGTTTGGAGTCCAACAGATGTGCAGAAGTCTGTAATGTTTTGTCATATGATCGCATTGTAAAATAATATGAAATATATACAGAATATTTATTAAAAATCACCTAGGTTAGTGTAAGGTTATTGTCAGGGTAGCAAACTATGCTACTTGAAAATAAGTATTTAAAATGTAACAGGGAAAAGCTGGCTTCCTTCATTCAGTGAGGGAGGGCAAAGTAGACAAGATGTGAAGGACTTGTGTTCAGAACTTTGACATCGCTTTCAAAGCTTTAAAAGTCATGGGAATTAGCAGCTAATTAGGTAGGCACCGTATTAGGCAATAACGGCTCCCTTCCATGCCATTTTCATAGTTAAAATTACATCTGCCTTCCCTCTGGAAGCTGCATCAAAATTCTGTGCCCAAACAAAAGCAGAGTAGTGACTAATAGAATCTGCATTTATTTGATGCTTTAAAACTCTTTATCTGCCAGTGCTATATGATTTAATTCCTGCCTTAATTTGGCATTACAGGTGGCAAAACTAAATAGTGGCCAAGATCCAGTAGTTCATTTGATTACTGTCTATTTCGGAGGATTGTTAACACCTGTGCCTTCTACGCAGCTCTTGTTTTGCTCAATGCTTAATTTGCCTGTATGAAACCCCACTTTAGGTTTCCAGGTCCAGGCGTCATCGCCAAGTTAGGCTGGCGCCTTCTGAGACGGGGTCAGATCACAGGAAAACTGCATCGCCAAGAGCTAAGCGGGCCACAAACATGTTACAGCCAACCAAAAGGACAGAGACTCTACAAAACAAAGGTAGCTACTGTGACAAGGGGATTCCTTGCTAACTCTTGAAAGGTGCCCACTGAAATTCGGGTACCTTGTGTGCAGGCCTCCCTGTGCATTGCCTGGGGCAGGTGCGAAGTTCTCCTGCCAAGACCTGCATGGAATGAGCGGCATTCAAGTTGTGGGGTGGACCAAAGGTTTGTACAACCTCTTGCCATGGGGGGGGCGGGGATGCGAATCTGCTGTATTTGTGGTCACCGCTGCCCTCCTTTTACTCTACTCTGCTTCTGGCGGCCTGGGGACTCGGACTTGGCATTAACAGCTCTCTTGTGCACCGGCAGAGACGTATGGGAGTCATGGTGGAGCGAAGGGTCGGGCTCAGCGGGCCTCCTTGCGTCACAAGGCGAGTTGTGGGCCTTCCGGCACACCTCTGTTTCTGCCAGCTCTGATACTAAGTAAAATGCACTGGGGCAAATATCCTGATTTTTTTAACATTTAGTTTTGATTGTGCAACAGAAGAACCAAACCACACCATTGCAGGAAACAAAAGAATAGCATAAATTAGAACATTACAATTTTTGAATATGATTTTAAATGATCCATAATACCAGTTCCATATGTGTTAATATACCCCATGTATTATATAACATACTGCCATTATTAAAACAATTATGCATATAATTAATCAAGGTCACACCAAATATCCATATATTCCTCCATTTCTAAATTGGGCCTACTGGCAAAGATCGAAATTTTCATCAAATCCTTCAGCCAGTGTGTTCTTGCTGGTAGCTGTTCATCCTTCCAATATTAGTCTTTTATTTTAGTCTTACATTTGGGGAAAAGATTTGGAAAGCATAAAGCAGAAGGCATGAGCTAGAACATGAGGAGTTCTGAAAGTACAGAAAGCCTTCTGCTAAGCACTGTGAAATAGGCTGAAATGTTAGTCCGAGACACATTGGAAAGGAAAGGAGGTGCTCCTTTCCTATTTACTGAATACCAGAAGTATTAGAAACAGCGGCCAGCTGCAGGTTATGCAGACTGCTAGCAGTTTAGAATGGGAGGTTATCAGCAGCCTCTTCTGGCATGGACATCATCGAACTCAAGTGTGGAGCTGAAACGGAAAGTTTTCCCATCTTTGCAGGAACATTGCAAGCAATAAAGGACCCAGGTGTTAAGACGACCCTGAGCATGCCTGTGATTTCCGAGGGTGATGCTGAAGACGATGACGATTATGACAATGACCGTTCTAGTGATGAAGGTACTGTCTTGCACATGAGGCAGGTGTGGCGGGAGGGGTGCAGAGTCATTCTCTTCCCGTGTTTCTGATGTCTCTCCACCAGCAGACATCTGGGCTGTTCTGCATTTGTATCACGTGTGGAAATTCTCTCAAGAGAATGTTCTGCCACTGGACAATGGGTTTTCCTCTTCAGTTACACCCATCACCACTTTCGGATTGTAAAAATCTCAGTGGCTGCGGCTCAGGACAGCTTTTCGTTGCCTTCAGGGTCACAGGTGACGTGCCTGTGTGCCTGTTGGTGAAGGACATAGGAGGAGGGGTCCTGCTTGTAGACTTCCCAGATGCCCGTTTGGATTTTGAGGGACATGGCAGACTGGACTGCAGAGGCCTCAGCCTGATTCAGCACAGCTGCTCTTAAGTTCATGGATTCCTGGTTTGTGCATTTTAAAAAAAGCACAACAGCTTCCGAAGGAAGCCACCTTTGCTCTCTCTGTGTTTTCTGTTCCTTGCTTTGTGCTGATTTCTTGGAAGATGTTTACTTTTGAATCCTTCTTTTTCAGATTTCGTACTTCCTAAGTGGAAAGGGACTTGTTGAGAGTTCATTCAAATGGACAATGCCATGCATGCAGTGGCGCTGTGTAAAAGAAATGTGTCTCCAGCCAACGGAAGAGGTTGCCCAGGTGCCTCAGAGCCAAACTGGGAAACTGCACATGCCTGTACTCATGAGCTGTGAGGGCAAAGGACTGCTCCACAAAGTGACGATTGAGAAGAATATGTGCGAGGCGGCATAGTTGTATATGTTGCGGAAGGTATTTCGTTCTCCTTTGCCTTTACAAATGCTGAGAAGCTGTTGTTCGTTTATTGTCACATGAATAGCTCATCCACATTTAAAACAGGCTTTTGAAAAAAAGCATTCGTTTTAGCATGTTAATTAAATGGAAGAATGTGTTGTTTTTGTCCTGATGGTTTGTAAAATCACTATGTAAAATAGATTCATTAAATGATAGTTCTTTTTGCAACTTTGTATGTGCCCATGTCATTTTTGCTTAGTAGAGTGGCAGTTGTGCTTTTGAAAACTAGAGTTGGTGATAGCAGCCTTCTTTTTGAAACAAAGACTTTGATCTGCGTTTGAAGTTCTTGAACAAAATGCTGGGAATGAGCTATAACAAGCCAAACTTGTGCTAGACCAGAGTGCCTGCCAGAGGAGGTAAGAAGCCTTTGCTTCTAAGATGAAAGGAACTGCAACCTGCTGCTGGTGCCCACGCAGGCTGGTAGAACAGATGGGACGAGTCCCATCGCATGCCTTCCAAATCCAGCTTGCAATGCAAATCCAACCAAGAGAAAGCCAGTGTGGTCCAGTGGTTAAAAGTGCGGGACTGGCACTCGGGTGATCTGAGTTCTAGTCCCCAGTCAGCCTTGGAGCCAAAGGGGTGGCTTTGGGCCAGTCAGAGCCTCTCAGCCCAGCCTACCTCACAGGGGTACTGTTGTGAGAATAAGACTGAGAGCAACAGGCGGCAAAGGATGTAAGCCACTTTGAGTTCATTGGGGGAGGAAGTGGCATATAAATCAAATAAATAAATTCCCCCAATACTAGTATTGAAATCCCAGCCTGCAATGCAAACAAAAATCCCTGAGAAAAGCATGCTAAACCCCAGGATGCAATATCCACAGAAGTGTACCACCTCCCCATTTAAAAAAAAAAATCTAGTTTGCAAGGCAAGCTGCTCCCACACTTGAATTTTCAACACCCCTCCTGGCAATGAAAAAATTCTCTGCATGCACACACAGACTGCAAAATGTTAACAAGAAGTCTACAAAGGGCAAAAAAATACCAGCTTGCTATTGGAATCTCGGGTGACATACGGCAGTGCTGAAATAGCACTGGTAGGAAGCACATTAAGCATTGTCCCACCAAGACAGAATTAGCAAAGGTCTCTGTTCGGGTATTAAACCAATCCCTCAGGAAGGGTATCGGGAGCCAATGCTTTGCTGTTTAAATTGGTTTTGCAGTTTAATTGGTTTAGATTGCAAAGCATCAGCTCCTAATACCCTTCCTGAGAGAGTTGCTATACTGGCATCTAAAGGCTAGAAAGACTGAGGTTCATGTAGCACCAGCAGTAACCTTCAGCCTGGCAGCCAGAACAGACCTAGGGCAAGTAAGCAAGAATCTGCATCATGGGGAGAGGCTGTTCTGGCGGCCTGTGAGAAGTTATTTTCCCACCTACACCTGCCTTATAGATGGGCCAGACTATGGTTTATTGAAACAAGCCACAATTAATTTCATTGATGGGCCTTCTGCCAACTTGCACTCCTTCCACTGGTCCTACTCCAGTTTTCCTTGTAAGTTCTGTGTACAGGTCGAATAACTAGGGAGATAAAATAGGGATGCCTTTGATGGCTTTGCCTCCAGACCACTGTTTCTCCCTATTAGACTTGTCTATCTTGCTTCTTGTCCTTGATACAGCTACGCATCAGGACGATCCAGTGTGGAGGTGTCTCCATTTCTTTCCGGATCATCCATAACTTCTCATGATCCACACAAAGGCTTTGCTGTGTTCTATAAAGCCCAGAGTGATTAAAGAAACTGGCATTTATCATAGTCTTGTAAAGAACCAGTGCGGTGCAGTGTTTTGAGTGCTGGGCAGGGGCATCAGAGAAGGAGGTTGTACTCCCTACTTGGCCATAAAACACGCTGGGTGACTTTGGGACTCAATGATTATCAGCCTAACCTACCTCACAAGGTTGTTGTGAGGAAAAAGAGGTGGAAGAACATGTATGGTGCCTTGGACACCTTGCAGGAAAGGGGTGTGTGCGTGGGTGGGGGGGGTAAAGATGCAACAGATGTATGAACAAACTACTCTGGGTGCTTCCAGACTGAGGCCTTCTTTCACCGCTCTGGGCAACTCTTTCACCTTTTCCTCCTTAATGAATTTTCCAGGCAGAAGCAGCAGTTGGAAAGCACCAGGGGCAGGGGAGGCACGGGTGGAAAACATGAAGGGGCCCTTGAGGAGTGCTAACAGTGTAAGAATTTTCAGTGGTATGCAAAAAAGAGAGGAGGAGATGCTAAAAGATGGCAGGGTCACGACCCTCTGCAAAATTTCTGTAACTGATGCAGGCCCATGGGGAGACCAAAAAGCCCCTGAAAGCACCTCTTGTTGGGATTAGCTACTCTGAAAGGGTTAAAATTTCCTTGCAATAAAGAAAGGAACCCGTGCAGGGGTAGGTGAGAGAGGTTCCATTTGTAAAAGGGAAATGATAAAAATTAATTAAATTTCTATTCCGCCCGTTAGCCAAGATGACTCTAACTGCTAGCTGGAATTGGCCTTTTGCAATTATTTGCAAGAAGGGAAGGTACGGGTGGGGAAGCGGAAGGCAACCGATGTCATTAAAGGCCCAAGGGGGGCGAGGGGGGCAGGACCCCGGGCCTCCGATGCAGCAAGCGCAGATGCGCGGCGCGGTGGGGCGGGGCGGAGCAGGCGGCCTCGCCCGCATGCGGGACGCCTTTGCGGGGCAGCGAGGCACGCGTGGGCCCGGCAGGCCTCCGGGGGCGCGTCCGGCACGCGAGCGCCCCCGGGCGCGCGCCTGCGCCCCCGGCCGCCCGAGTGCAGCGTCCCGGCAAGCGCAGGAGCGCGCGCGGCGCGCGGAGGGGAAGCGACCGAGCCGCGCGCCTCTCCCTGCGCCGCCGCCTTCCCCGGAGCGGCTGGGCGCGCAGCGCAGCCGGCATGGGCTGCAAGAGGACGCGGCTGCGAGCCGGAGAGCCGGAGGCGGGCTGAGCAGGGCCGGCGCCTGCCGCCGCCGCCGCACCTGCAGGGAGGAGCCGGCCGGCCGGCCGCCCGTCGGGCAGGAGTGCGATGGCCGCGGACAGTAAGTGGGCTGGGGCGGCCTTGCGCTGCCGGGCGGGTGGGGGCGCCGCGTGGGGCGCCGGCCCGGCCCGTCCCCCCCCCGCCTCCTGGCCGCGGCGCGTCCCCGGCCCCTCTCGGCCGCGCGTCCTTGGGGCCCGCGCCTGCCGTCCGCGGAGCGCGGCCGCTGCTGCATTGGGCGCCTCCCGCCGGTGCCCGCTGCCCGGGCCGGGAGGGGCGGCCAGAGCGCTGGGCGGACGCACCCCGAAGCAAAGCCTTGCTCCCCGGTTGGGAACCCCGCCGGCCAGGGAAGCGGGAGGCCCCGCCGTGCGTGGCTTTTGCGTGCGCGGACGGCTGCCCCCCGAGGAAGGCTCTGGTCCGGTGCGGCCGGCGGCCCTCCTGGTGCCTGGATGGGGCACCTCGAGGCCCGGCAGCCCCTCCTCCCCGATGCTTCCTTGGCCGCGGCCTGGACTGGGACGCCCTTGAAACAGGGGATGCCTTCAAAACAGGGGATGGTCTTCCAGCCGCCCTTCCCTCAGAGGACTGCCCCCTGTAAAAGAGGACACCCGGCAACACTCTCTTGTTACTCTCTGGTAGGGTCTCCCAACGTGGTGCCTTGGACAATAACTCTCATGTTCCCCAGCCACTGGCTGTCGAGGCTGGAGTGGATGGGAGTTGTAGTCCAAGCATGGGGAGGGTGCCCATGGATGGAAGTGTGGTCTTTCACATAAGAGGTGCTGCAGAGGTCTTTGGGCAGCTGTGGGGCTCAGGCAGCATCATTTTATCCGATGCTTTGAACGTCATGTAATTAACAATCATATGCAAATACAGCATTTTGGAGTATTCCCACAGTTCCTGTAATTTTTCTGCAATTAGGCTCAGTAATCTGGAATACCTGCTTTTGTTGATCTAGATCAGTTCTCCCAAACCTCGTGCCCCATCATGTTGTGGAGGACAACTTGCAGCAGCAGTTCTAGTAAGCAAGGCTGGTGATCGGGGTTAATGGGATTTGTTGTCCAAAGCATCCGGGGCAGGCTGGAGCGGGCTGGGTCAGATAGAATCTGGGCCATTCTTTCCCCAGCGGACCCTGAAGTCAAGGGCGTGTGTGTGCTGATTTGTGCCTGAGGGAGGATTTCTTCCTTTGGGCCCCCTTTAACAATTCTGATGGTGTTGGTCAGCCTTCCCAATTTGGCACCTTCTAGTTCTGCTGGACTACAGCTCCCATCATTCCCAGCCAACATGGCTGCTGGCTATGAGTGTTTGGAATCCTGACCCAACACATCCAAAGGGCACTGAATTTGCATGCTGTGGAGTCACCTTGCAGTATGAGACCCAAGCAAACTTTGCTGCGTGTTATTCATTATATTTTCGGGTTTCTCCCATGGCAGAGCTCAGGAGGTCGTCTGTAGCATCCCCAGGCGCTCGCCCATCCAGGCGTTGACCTGGCCCTGCCTGATGATGCGCTTCAACAGGGGGACCACATCATACGGGGTTTGTTTATTTCTACCCTGCCTTTCTCCCTAGTATTCAGGATAGGTTTACTGCAATAGAAAATAGCAGCCCAGTATTATTATGTCACAGTTACAGCCTACCTTGTTTCCCTTCGTGAGGAACCGGAGGCAACTAACGCTCCATTTTTATCCTCACAACAACCCTGTGAGGTGGGCTAGGCCAAGAGTCATTACTTGTTTTTCGGCGCCAGGCAAAGACCTTTTTATTCCAAAGTCATTTTAACTGTTAATAGTATTTATTTATTTTATTCTTTGGCCAGGGCGACTTATTTTATACTGTTAATTTATATTATTTTAATTGAAGTTATTTATGTTGTGAGCCGCCCCGAGGCTTTGGCGAATGGGGCGGCATAGAAATTGTCTAAATAAATAAATAAATAAATAAAATAAGAGTCTGTCACTGGCCCAAAGTCACTCCATGAGCTTCAAGGCCGACTGGGGACTAGAACTTGGATCTCCCAGGTCCCCAGTCCTGCCCTCTCATGCTCACAGCACAGGGGCTCTTGATAATAATAAATATTTTCAAATTGCAACCAAACCTTGATAGGGAGAATGATCCTAGGAGGAAATCATGCTAGGGGAGGTCAAAGGAAGAAGAAGAAAAAGAAGAGCAAATATGAGATGGATGGCCTTGAGCTTGCAACAGTTGAGCAGGGCTGTCAGGGACAG